TTTATAACCCATTTAAAAAAAACCTGGGTTTTGCCCTTTTTACTTTTTTATACCCAAAGAAACCCACTTGTTTAGCCTTTTTCAAAAGCCCCCGATAAGTTTTTTCCCCGGGGTTTTCACCCCTCAAAATTTTTGAGTTGGGGGGGTAAAATGCAAATTTTTTGAAAAAAAATTTTAAGGGGGAAAATCCCTCAAAAAAACATTTTGCATTTTTTTAAAAAAAAATTAAAATTATTGTTTTTTTTTTGTTTTTAAATTTTTTTTTTTTTAGAAAAAAACCCCGTTCAAATAAAATTCAGTTCCAAATTTTGGGAAAAAATTTCAAAAAATGCTTTGTAAATGGGTTTCTGTAAAAATCAGACTTCCAGGGGTTTTACTGGAACTCAAATGTAGGATACTCAGGCAAAATTGATCAGGGCTTTCCCATTTTCAAAAAAATTTGGAAAGTCAAAGACCTCAACATTCTCTGATGATTGGAATCACTTATTATGGGTAAAGAGGATAAGTATTAGATTTTCGGGAGTCACAGGCAAAAAATGAATGAATGACTCCTAAATTCCATTAGTGAGCCCCTGGAAATTAATTTTTATTTAGAAGTCAATATTATTTTTTCTTATTTTCTGTTGGAATGTACTTATTCATTTGTACTCCAGTTTTGAACAATTATAGATGAAAATTCGAATTAAAGAAAAATATACAAGATTTTTTTATCTTTCCTTAAAAAAAAGTTATGTTGGTCTGAGAAACAAATTGTCCATAACTGTAAGACTGGTTACAAAATTTATTGAAAACAAAACTGCAAGTAAAAAAAAATGTTATTTTGTTCCAACACAAAAGTGGAAAGAAATTAAAATAATTTTGTTTATATTAAGGCTTTAACATGTCAATAGATGCAAAAACAAAACTTAATACTATGTTAAACTCCTACGATGATTTTTGGGCCAAAATTTTTATCAAAAAATTTACGGGTTGATATGGGGGAGTTACCCCCCTTCGTACTTCCTTCTAACTTTCATTTAACATGCTTTTTTTTTGACAACAGAATTTTATTTTTTCAATGCAGCAAAATGGAAATATATTGTTTTTTACTCAAAAAATCCTCTTTTTAACATCAAAAGTTTACAATTTTTATTTTTTTCACGCTTAATTTTGACATACAAGCTTTTTTTCATTTTTTTGTGCGAAACTTTTTCGCAGAATTTGAAGGATGGGATTTTTAATTTTTTTATGCAATTTTACGCTCACACGCACGTTATTGGATTCTGCATTTTGTTATTTCTATATTTCATACCTGATTTAGCCTAATATAGCATACTCGATTAACTTTTTTCATATTCTATATAACATAACCTGATTTAGCCCTTTTCATATTCTATAAAACACACCTGATTAGCCTTTTCGTATTCACTATTAACATACCTGATCTAGCCTTTTCATATTCTATGTATAAAACATACTGATATTTTCCCTTTTCATATTGTTTTTATAAACAAAACAGATTTAGACATTTTCATATTCTATATCAATAATACTGAAATTTACCCCTTTTTCATTATTTGTATAACATACCTGATTTACATTCATATTTCTCATATGACCATACCTGTTATAGCCTTTTCATATTCAATATAACATACCTGATCTAGCATTTTTGTATTCATATATAACATGCCTGTTTTTGCCTTTTCATATTCTATATAGCATGCCTGATTTAGCCTTTTCGTATTCTATATTATAACAATACCTGATCTAGCCTTTTCATATTCTATATAACAAACCTGATTTAGCCCTATCATATTCTATATAACATGCCTGATTTAGCCTTTTATATTCTATATAGCATACCTGATTTAGCCTTTTCGTATTCTATACATTAACAAACCTGATTTAGCCTTTTCATATCCTATGTATTAACATACTTGATTTTCCCTTTTCATAGTGTTTTTTAACAAAACAGATTTAGCATTTTCATATTCTATATAATAATACTGATTTAGCCTTTTCATATTTTGTATAACATACCTGATTTACCTTTTCATATTCTATATGACATACCTGTTATAGCCTTTTCATATTCAATATAACATACCTGATATCTAGCATTTTCGTATTCTATATAACATGCCTGATTTAGCCTTTCATATTCTATATAACATACCTGATTTATCCTTTTCTTATTTTATACAAAATAGCTGATTAAGCCTATTCACATTCTATATAACATACCTGATTTATCCTTTTCATATTCTAACTGTTGAGGAGAATCTTCTCCCTTGAGTATTTTTATCTCCTACAACATAAATTATAATACAAAAATAAATGTGTTTTATTTGGTAATTTCCAAAAATGTCTATTGTTTACAGTAAGATTGGTATTTTCAGTCAGTCCGTTTAACAGTGTCCCAATATAATAAAAAACATCTAAATCAATTTCCTTCAATGAAAAAATTAATTCATTGCAATGCAAAGAATTGTTCATTTCGATATTTTCGATATTTTTGGTGCAATCATAAAAAATTTACAAATGGGTATCGAAACATTCTCCAAGGTACTGGAATTGAGGGACAATAAAAAAAAATGTCGTTTAAGTAAAAGTTTACGGATGAATGCCGGACAAAAGGCGATAACAAAAGCTCACCATGTCACATTGCCATAGGTGTGCTTAAAACAAAACAGTCTATAGTCAATTCCTATTTATGCTAACTTTACCCCAATTGATACACCCCTTTTTATTATAAATTTCTTATTTGCAGTTAAGGTTTTTTAGCTGCTACATTTGAAACATGAAAGTTATGAAAAATGTATTGGCTTTATTAGCCAAAATACAATGAATACTCTAGGAAATTAGGCTTTTTGATCACTGACCCTGCATCTATTGCTAGAAAAGTCAAAATAAAGGTCATTGGGTCATATTAAATAATATCCAAAGAATAATATCTGTAAAGTTTGGTCAAAATCTTCCTTAAAACAAGAGGGCCATGATGGCCCTGAGGGCGCTCACCTGTATATAGCCCCCCCCCCCCCCCCCCGGGCCAATTTTTACCCAAGGGCTTTTATTTGAACAGACTTGGTAGACACCCATAAGGAAAGATGTTTCATGCTAAACATCTAAGTTCTAGCTCATTGGGTTTTTTAAAGAAGATTTTTTAAGTTTTTACTATACACATATTGTTAAAAACAATCCCGGGTGTATATTTTCCGAGGTTTATGAAAAAACCATGGAAACTGCTTTAAAAACCTTGGAAATAAACCAGTTTTACAAGGTTTTTTCTTAATTCCGAGGGTTTTTTTAAAACCTTGGAAACTTTATCCAAGGTTTTTGTATGAAAATCCTTGGAAATAAAGAAAACCTTGGAAACTATCTCGGAATTAAACACTCTGCCAAAAATCAGCTCGGAAAAAGCTTTGAAATAAGAACTTTGTCATTTTTTTGCTCGGAAAAAGAACTTAGAAAATTTACGTAAAAATTTGTTGGAAACACTTTGCCAATATTTAGCTTGGAATGACCTCGGATAATTGAACTTACTAAATTTCATCTCGGAAAATGTTAAGACATTAATCATGAATTTAACTTATAATGGGCATCAAAAGCAATAATTCAACAGTTAAAGCAAACTAAGATAACAACCCAAACTGTAGATTGCCAATGGATATTTTTTTAATCCATGGTCAGAGCATAAACAATTGTCCAACAGCATGGAAAGGAGAGATTTGGTCCAGGGAATCAATTTTTAGTATGGACATTGTCAATGGCCAACTTCCTTTTCAATAAATTTGTACTTTAATCTTCTGAAGCCATTTTTGTGGGAGGAATCAATTAAAAAAAATTTAAGTGTGAAAACATGGAAAAGTTAAATACAATGTAAATTCCTTGTTGCCATAAAATACCTTTTATTAATGGCTATAAAGGTATTGTAACTAATCATAATAAGATAAAGATTATTCAAATAACTGATGATCAGAAAGACTTGAAAATTTTATTTTTTTTATTTTCATATTTTTTTTTTATTATTTATAATTATTGTTACTAGATATCTTCTCCATTTTTAAGAATAGATTAAAGAGCAAAACTTATAATTATACAAAAAGAAACAATCAGTGTTTATGTCTATTAGTTTCTAAATGCATCAGTATTTTTCCTGCAGTTTCTTTCTATATATAGACTTAACTTAGGGTTTCTTGACAGCCTGTAAGCCAACACTGAAATAAGAATGCTATTAATCTTTAATATATGTTTTTATGCCATATAAAATAGTATATTCTACTAAGCAAGTCTGTGACATACATTCAGATTACAATTTACTCTGCCATTAATTATGTGTACAATAAACATAAATAGTTATTAATTGCCCTTTTAATATATAATTATGTACAATTAATGTGTAAAATATGTATGCTTGATACTTTCTTATAATTAAGATAAATAATACTGCATCCACTAAGTTTTCACACACAGAATATAAACACACTGATCAGATAAAACTAATGGCACCCCAGGTGGTTCCCTCTTATAATCTATGCATGATCAATCTTCTCATTGAGCATTCTGGGATAGACCAGATTGTTCCATGTGATTATTCAGGGGGAGTTTCTGGGTTTTTATACAATCCAAAACAGTCTAAAATGACACTGCAACTGTGATTCTCTTATAATTTTCAAGTTTTACTTTTATTTATCATTTGATATATTTGTACTTCAATAAAATTAATGTAAAAATAAAATGATGATGGCTTTTGATATTTTGGATCACCCCTGTTTCACATTATGATTGCCCGTTCAGTTATACTGTTGAAAATTTTGAATCTCAGACATTAATGGGTCAAGTGGTTATAGTTGGAAGTAGTGCAAACCTGGATTTATTTTAAGCAATTTTGGACATATCTTGTTTTAAATGTTAGGGAGCATATTTTTGGAATTTTCAAAGAAAACATTTATCTAAGTGTGACAAAAGATTCAGGAAATGTTTGGTTGTTGTAATTGAACCTAAAGATCAATGACCTAGGACAGGAAGATAAACAAAAGAAACATGATAGTAAAAAGGTTCAGGTAAATAATTTTAGATACATTTATGCATAAAATCTGTTGTTGTTTTTTTTCAAATAAGTATTAAATACAAACTATTTTAGATCTATATTTTTAACCTAAATGTAAGCTAGTTTAAATACAATTGTTTAGAGGATATTTTATGAGTATTAAATTTAATGTTATTTTTGTCTATGATTGTATTGAACAAGATGAGTGCATGAAACTATGATGACATTATTTATAAACTTTCATCTTTCATCTATTATTTGAATCTACAAATTTTTAATTACAGAGTCAGCTTGTAAGCAAGTTTGCAAGACTGTTCCAAACTACAAGAAGATGGCAATCCAGCTTTGCTGTGTTTTATCATAGTATATCATTGGCATCCAGGCACCGATTAAGGAAGCCAACTGTAGACCAGGAAAGGCTTCAAGGAATATACTACAGTATGTTTTTGTTTTAAAACTAGGTTTTGAAAGTTTCAATTTAAAATTTGAATGAATGAAGGTTTCTGGAACTGATTTTTTTTATTGATACTTTGTTGGAAATGCTGTTAATGTTACATGATGACTCTCCAGCTTTATTGATGCAGATGTCACTTTGAGCAGACAGATACAATTAGTGTAGGCAATCAGAATCACCTTATGAAAAGCGTTATTTTTTGCAATATTTTTAGAGTGCTTTAGGTTGTAACATCCAGTATGACATTATCTAAAATAATAGTAACAGACATCGTTTCTTTTCTAAACATCGCAGAATTGTCACACTGCTTACCAAAGTTTTCTTGAAATCCTGACACTCAAAGTACTGATGAACAAAAATAAGAAATCAACATGAAAAAAATTAAATTCACTATTTCAAAACAGTAGACAAACATTTAAAAGTAACTACAGAAAAGGTCATTTGAAAATATAAGCCTTCATTTTAATCAATGGTCTTGAACAACTTGTAATTCAAGTAGTTTTGGATTTCACAAAAGTGCTGATTTTTTAAAACAATATATATCAACAGTGAACTGATATTTTTGTCTATGGAAACGTTTAAGGAATGTATCATTTTTTTTATTGATTAATAAAAAAGAAATTAAATGATGTAATTCTGATTACCTACACATACCGAACTGTCCTGAGTATAACCACAGGTGTTCCTTAATCCTGGGCTGGATAGCTCCCTCAGAGGGAAGAAGCCCATCCTGGCTTCAGGAGTCAAAAATACAATGTTGTAAGGCAAGTAGTTTGAAGTCTTTGATCCTGACCACATGGAGAGGGAAGCGCCCAGTGGTGATTTTATATAATTGTTTTTCTAACTTCTTTCAATGGCTGTACTTTATTAAATATTTACTTTATTTATTTCAGGAATTGTATCCTGGAGCATTTTCCACATGTGACCCCTGTGATGGTGAGGGAAAAACTAAGGGACATTTAAAAATCATGAAGAGTGAACAGGAATTCAAAAGATAGATATTTGAATACATTAAAATTTAACTGGATACCAAAAAATTATAACTGAACATTGAGTGTAATATTTACCATTAAAGACTTCTAACTTAACTTTTCATTTGTAGTGCATTACTATTTACTTCACACTGACATTAAATGTTTAAGTGAGTCATGTGATCATTTTTTGCTCTGTATTATTACAAAGAAGTTTCTTAATTCCTTAAAAGGACAATATCATTGCTCTTTTCAGAATATTTCATTGGATGTTATATTTTCTGATTTTCCATGGATATTCTAGAAATTTCCAAGGTTTTTGCTCAAATAAACCTTGGAAAATTCTCTGATGCCCTTAAGTAAGAATCCTCGAAAATATAACAGTATTCCCAGTTGTGAGAAACTTTCCGAGGTTTTCATTTAAAAACCTTGAAAAAACAAACCACGGAAACACTTTAAAAATCCTTGGAAATCGTTCCAATACTCCGAGGTCACTCATTTTCCAAGGTTTTCTAAACAAAATCCTCGGAAATTATTTTACGAGGTTTTTATTCTGAAATCCTTGGAAATCGTTCCAATACTCCGAGGTCTTACTTTTTACGAGGTTTTTTTAAAAAAAAACTCGGAAATTTTTTTTACAAGGTTTTTCACCCTCTCCCTATTTTTCCAAGGTTTTTTTTAATAGCAAAGTTTTGCATTTTCTTGTTCCAATACTCCGAGGTTTTTTTCCAAGGATTTTGAGCCAAAAACCTTGGAAAATCTACACCCGGGATGACACCCCTGGGGCAGGGCCAGTTTTGACCCCCGGGCTTTTATTTGAACAAACTTTGTAGATATTTACTTAAAGATGTTTCATGTATAATATCTAAACTCAAGCTATTTGGGTTTTTTCAAAGAAGATTTTTAAGTTTTTGCTATACACATATAAGGAAAATCAATGACCCCCGGGGCGGGGCCAGTTTTGACCCCAGGGCTTTTATTTGAACATACATGGTAGACACCCATTAGAACATGTTTCATGCTAAATATCTTAGCTCTAGCTCTTTGAGTTCTTTAAAAGAAGATTTTTTTAAGTTTTTACTATATGCATATAGGGAAAATCAATGACCCCCTGGGGCGGGGCCAATTTTGACCCCAGGGCTTTTATTTGAACAAACTTGGAAGACACTCATAAGAAGATGTTTCATGCTAAATATCTTAGCTCTAGCTCTTTGGGTTCTTTAAAAGAAGATTTTTAAGTTTTTACTATATGCATATAGGGAATATTTATGACCCCCTGGGACGGGGCCAATTTTGACCCCAGGGCTTTTATTTGAACAAACTTGGAAGACACTCATTAGAAGATGTTTCATGCTAAATATCTTAGCTCTAGCTCTTTGGGTTCTTTAAAAGAAGATTTTTAAGTTTTCACTATATGCATATAGGGAAAATCTATGACCCCCTAGGGTGGGGTCAATTTTGACCCCAGGGCTTTTATTTGAACAAACTTGGTAGACACTTATTAGAACATGTTTGATGCTCAATATCTAATCCATAGCTCTTTGAGTTCTTTAAAAGAAGAGTTTTTAAGTTTTTACTATATGCATATAGGGAAATCAATGACCCCCCGGGCCGGGGCCAATTTTGACCCCAGGGCTTTTATTTGAACAAACTTGGTAGACACTCACTAGAAGATGTTTCATGCCAAATATCTTAGCTCTAGCGCTTTGGGTTCTTTAAAAGAAGATTTTTTAAGTTTTTACTATATGCATATAGGGAAAATCAATGACCCCCTGGGGCTGGGCCAATTTTGACCCTAGGGCTTTTATTTGAACAAACTTGGTAGACACTCATTAGAAGATGTTTCATGCCAAATATCTAAGCTCTAGCTCTTACGGTTCTTTAAAAGAATATATTTAAAGATTTCTCTTTCGGTTGCCATGGCAACCAGAGTTCTGCATGAAATGGAATTCTTTGAACAATCTTGATAGAGCTTCATACAAAGAGTATTCCTGCCAAGTTTCATTAACATTGGCCATGCGGTATCATAGAAGATGTCCTAATAGAATATTTAAAATGTGGACGGACGACGGACGCCATTTGGTTGGCCATCCTAAAAGCTCACCTTCACTTTGTGCAAGGTGAGCTAAAAAGTTGGTGTAAAAAAAACGGCCACAATACAAAATGCTGTCACAAACATTCAACTTTGATTGCTCAATATATGCTCAGTTGAGTTAACAAGAGGGCCATGATGGCCCTGAGGTCGCTCACCTGTATATAGGCCCCCAACCCCCCCCCCCCCCCCCCCCCCCAACGTTGCAGGGACAACTTAACCCAAGGGCTTTTATTTGCACAAACTCGGTAGACACCCATAAGAAGATGTTTCATGCTAAACATCTAAGCTCTACCTCATTGGGCTTTATTGAAAGAAGATTTTTTTCAAGTTTTTACTATACACATATAGTTAAAAACAATGACACCCCTGGGGCCGGGCCAGTTTTGACCCCAGGGCTTTTATATGAACAAACTTGGTAGACACCTATTAGAACATGTTTGATGCTAAATATCTTAACCATAGCTCTTTGAGTTCTTTAAAAGAAGAGTTTTTAAGTTTTTACTTAATGCATATAGGGAAAATCAATGACCCCCCCCCCCCAGGCCAGGGGCCAATTTTGACCCCAGGGCTTTTATTTGAACAAACTTGGTAGACACCTATTAGAACATGTTTGATGCTAGATATCTGAGCTATAGCTCTTTGTGTTCTTTAAAAGAAGTTTTTTTAAGTTTTTACTGTATGCATATAGGGGAAAATCAATGACTCCCGGGGCGGGGCCAATTTTGACCCCAGGGCTTTTATTTGAACAAACTTGGAAGACACTCATAAGAAGATGTTTCATGCTAAATATCTTAGCTCTAGCTCTTTGGGTTCTTTAAAAGAAGATTTTTAAGTTTTTACTATATGCATATGGGAAAATCAATGACCCACCGGGGCGGGGCCAATTTTGACCCCAGGGCTTTTATTTGAACAAACTTGGTAGACACCCATTAGAACATGTTTCATGCTAAATATCTTAGCTCTAGCTCTTTTGGTTCTTTAAAAGAAGATTTCTTAAGTTTTTACTATATGCATATAGGGAAAATCAATGATCCCCCGGGGTGGGGCCAATTTTGACCCCAGGGCTTTTATTTGAACAAACTTGGTAGACTACTTTTAGAACATGTTTCATGCTAAATATCTTAACCATAAATCTTTGAGTTCTTTAAAAGAAGATTTTTTAAGTTTTTACTATATGTATATAGGGAAAGTCAATGACCCCCCGGGGCGGGGCCAATTTTGACCCCAGGGCTTTTATTTGAACAAACTTGGTAGACACTCACTAGAAGATGTTTCATGCCAAATATCTAAGCTCTAGCTCTTTTGGTTCTTTAAAAGAAGATATTTAAAATTTTTCTTCCGGTTGCCATGGCAACCAGAGTTCTGCATGGAATTAAATTCTTTGAACAATTTTTAAAGGTGACCACCAAAGGAACATTCCTGTGAAGTTTGGATGAAATTGGCTTAGTGGTTTATGAGGAGATGTCATTTAAAGTAAAAGTTTACGGACGGACGGACGCCGGACGGACGCCGGACGAAAAGCAATCACAAAAGCTCACCCTGTCACTTTGTGACAGGTGAGCTAAAAACAAGAAAGTTTAACATTATAGAGGCTTGATTTATAGGTCCTCAGTCAAGTCACATTCCTATTTAAGTCAAAGTTATAAATTAAATCATGAAACTGAAGAATGGCTCTTTTTGACCCATTATAATGATTTTCATATCTCAGCCAGTGTTTCAGTCTACATATGCTACACTTAAGCCATGCACCTTTATGTTTGGTCAATCATTTCCAAGGGGCATGATTTCTATTACTTAAATAGATACCTACAAGGAGTGGGGTTGGCTACAAAACTGTAAATCTACAAGTCAGGGCATGTTAGTTTCTTGTGAGATTTTAACATTGCTCATCTGAAAAGTTTTAGCTCATGGGAACTTTATTCTTCAAGACTACTTCTTATCAACATATCTATTTTATATTATCATTGTTTATCATTAAAACGTCTCAATTAAGAATAAATGTTAAATACTTGTTATAGTTTTTATATATATAGTATTATTTGAATAATACCATTATGTGAAACTTCTGCTTATCTTAGGCTACTCATGCAACCAACCTGAATCATTTTAAGGACTCTAGTAAAAGACCACCCAATGCTAACTCCTTTTTTTGTCAAAATAGATCAGATGTTGTTTAAAGAACATATGAAAGATGTCTGGCATCACATTTGCTTAGTAGCAATAGGCAAGTTTTACTCTGATGAGTTAATAAGACTATTATAAGTACTTGGCCTGAAAGTGGGGGTGACTGTCTTAAACGTTTCAAAGCTTAAAAGATGTGAGGTAGTACAAAATCTAACCAAATGTCGAAAAAGTGTCATTTTTTGTCAAAATCCAAGACAGAGTTATGTCAACTTACCTGGCAGATGGGATAATAGCAGACCTGGGGTAACCATTTATAAATTGTAATCATTGATTTTTAATTGATTACATGATTACACTGTAATAATCATGTAGCCCAAAATTGATTAATTTAATTGTAATAAATCAATTACAGCTATTACAATTTGATTGACATTGATTACTTTTAGATTTAACAGGAAACTATTTTAATTCAAATGATGCCTTTATTTCACATTATACAGTTTAACTTTTGTTTTACATTTACCTTGATTAAGACCATCATCTGGGCTGGACCAAAGTGGTCTTAATTGTGGGTGGTCTTAATTGTGAATAGTCATTTTCATTGCTTGCATACTCTATGACCATGGTCTGTTTTAGTCATTTTGTATGAGAAAAAGATGGTATGCATCTTAAGCTACAAATACAATATAAAAGACACTATAAAAGTATGCTTTGATATCTGATAAGAGGAAAACATATTTCTGAAGAAATTTAACATAAAATTCTCTTTGGTCAGATTTCAATATCAATTATGATATCATGTACATAATAAATAAATAATAAAATGTAATTCTGATTAGAATGGCCGTACATAGATAACTTTTATTTTTTAAATTTATCAGGGCTGGGAATCAAAACTGCGTCGTATCCTACAAAATGTAAACAAACGCCGCCATCTTGGAACGAAAAATGTATGTTTTTGTTTATAACTCCTTTTGTTGGAAATGACTGAAAACAAGATATATGTATTAACACGCTATACTATTTTCCGCTTAGTTCGGTATATGTTGCTTGCACAACTATTTTGTAAAACAAAAGTTATAGCGAATTTGCAACTCGAAGCGGGGCATATTTTTTATGAAAATGTGTGGATACGACGGAGTTCATATTGCTTTATCTATCGTTTTTTCTTTCAAATCAATTATATACTCGTTTTCAGAGTTCACCGTGAACTTCAAAACATAATTTTGCATCATTTACTAAACTTTCATTTAAAAGAGATGTTTATTTTCCAAGAAAATAATGATTTTTACGAAATGATACGACGCAGTTGAAAATAAAATATGATACGACGCAGTTGTATTTTCATTGCAGGCTGAATATTGGTTAAACAATTTAAATTATGTGCTAGGTATGCTAATAACGTCCAACAACATTTCTTGTTTACAACTTAAGTCAAAAGCAGAGGTCACTCATTGGTTTCATAACAAGAGCTGTCGGTAGGACAGCACGCTCGACTATTCTAAGTGCTTGATAGTAAAAGAACCGGCTCATTTTTTTTATAAATTCATGTTATAGGCCT